TTTTGAAAAAATGCCAACAAACTCAGTATTTATCAAGTCTGCAAACTGAAGTTAAAGAAGGTACCTTATAATCACTTATGGCAGCACATTGAATGAAGACTTCTTATCTTAAACGATTTCAGTGAGAAGTTATCAACAACTTAATATTCCAAGCTGAACTCTCAAACTATCTTTAACATTTTGGCTTCTGAATTGCATAATTAAACTTGGGATGGCTGCTTTGGAGCATCCACTTAAATGTCATGTGAGAAGATGATGAAGGACCACAATCAACATTAAATGGTTTTTTTTGCAGGATTTGCTATTTCATTGTTTTTTGGAAGAAGAATGTATATTTCATGATAATATGGTTTGATCAAATATATGTATGTTGATGATTAAATAAAATCTTATCTTCACCAAACCAAACCCAAATATAAGTTTTTTTTTGTCCAGTTGAGCCATTGCAACAAATTTTAGATTAACTGCATGTCTCTTATGTTAGGTTGTTATTTTAAGTTGCTGTGAACTAGAATTTATTGTTTTCTGAATCTCACACGCTTGACTTTAATTAACTTGTGACCATCATGTCCTTCCTTATTGATTTAGAGTCAAGTTTTTAAAAGGTCAAATTTAGAAAGGCAAGTGTGTTACCTGAAAAGACGTGTGTGTTAATTCTTACGCATTATGGTTTGCTGGAATTTTCAAAATTGTAAAAGTGTTCTTGTGGGAAGATGAAAATAGATCTGCTACATATATACATGTTTTGTTGTAATTATTATAAAATTAAATGACATCAACTTACTTGTACATTAAAGCACAGTAAAAGTACACAACTAATAAGACTCTCCACAACTGTCACTAATTGGTTATCAGTTTCGCAAGTAGGCAAATCTTCTTCAATTAGTCACACTATAAATGAGCTGTTTGTGGATATAGTCATGTTACCAAGATCTCTGATCCATGAATATTTAGTCATCGAGCTTTAATTTATCAAATTAGTGAAAACCATTAAAAATTATAACTATAACTTATAACTATGCTCAGTTCAGCTAGTGTATCTTATGTGAAACTGTAAATGAAATAAATAAATTATTACAGAATTATGAAAAAGCTGTGGCGATGGGAAATTTAGAATATCTTTGACTATTTTTAAAATAAATTTTAGATTATACTGAGTGTTGTGTTGATAATTAATGATGAATGGCTGGTAGTAGAACAATAAAAGTTAATTGATATGTGGGAATCTAATCAATGGCGTGAAGCTGAAGCGGTCCATTGTTCGTCATTCACTCAGGTGTCATAAGAATTTTCAGAACAAAACCACTTCACTTCTACTTTTACGGCCACGCACGGTGTAAACGAGATAATTATTCTGAACAGGCCATAAAATTTTATAATTACATAGCAGAGGTCGATCGTAGCCATGTTTGGAAATAGTCTTTCTTCAAAAATGCACTATTTTTCCGGTGTGCAAAATGAACAATGGGTCGGGTCTAATTTTGGTCATTTTCTATAGCCCTAGATCTCAACTGACATATACGGCCGACATGGAACCCATGGTATGGTCCATATTATTCTGAGAGCTTAGTATTGCAGTAGACCTTATCAGCACAACTCTGCTTGACTTGGTGTCCTCGTCTTTTTCTGCTTCCTTGATTCACAATGTTCCATTAATTGAATGCAATATATTTCCATACTTTTAAAACCAAAATGATATTGATTAATCAGTGTAGTTTATGTGCTAATGAATATCACTTATTATATTTCGATTCAAAGACAAACTAATCTCAGATATTACCTCTACCTACTAATCATCCAAATGTATATGATTACATAGCTTCTGTTGACTTGAGGAATTATTTTTGCCATTGATAATACATGAAGCAATTGATATTTGTCATCAATGTCATCCACAATATCTATACTCATACATCTCGACCAATCCCAACATTTCCTTTCTGCTTGATCAAAAACCGTAACTGACCTAGTTTTATATCTCTATGTTTTTGTAAACTGGGTATTCTCAGGCTTCATCAAGTACATGAACAGGATGGTTCCTTCAAGTACTGTCAAAAATTAGTGCCCAACCTAGGTCACGTGTTCCATCCCTGCATTACCCCAGAAAGTTCATGATTCCAACATGGTTTCCCCTTGTCAGTGATGCTGGACGGAAGGCCTGAAAAAATGAGGTCCTGTGTATACATTGGCATGCATGTATAATCAAAGATCACTTGACAGTTGGAATTTGATACAGTAGGCCATAGTGCCGCTGTCCAGGCAAAATTTCCCTGATTATAGCACACCGTATGGCGTATGCCAGCCTTCATATGATAAACAAATTTTTTGTATAAATAAACTTGTTTGTTGTATTATCTCTACTCGTAAATCAGGAGAAAGACTCCTTTCATTTAAAGATCACACAGGAGATGTGAATAAGTAATTTCTCATAAATAGAATGCACAGGAGACAGTTAAAATATTTAGAATTGTTTTACTTTAAAATGTCATTCTTGAAGAATACCGGGTAGTTCTTTTATATTATCACTATATATATAAGCTTACAGTTGAACTATAATTAAGGTTATGTTCACGTTGGGATGTGCCGCAAATAATCATGTTCAGGATTATTTTCCAGATGTCGGCTGCATTTTTATAGTGTCTTAAGACTACCAGAAAGGTACCAACTTTGATTTCATAAATGCACATTTTGAATCTTCATCAATCAATCATTGAATTTTAATATTGTTAGACGCTTCATTTAGTTTTTCATAGCAATGCAATGTTGAAAAAGGCAAATGTTTAATTACGGTACCTTCATTGCTAGATATGTGAACTTCTCGAAGTCTTTAAATGAGAGGTAATGTCAAATGTCCTAGCATAGTTTCCTTTTCATTCTTCCAGCCAGAAAAGGTGTGGGATTTTTAAAGCCTTACATTTTACATACAACTTTCTGTTATCATCACTCAATAGCATTAGTTTGTTGCTAAATGATTCAGAAAATACCAGTTGAACTGGAATTTTGTCCATGTGCTGTTTTGTTCTATTTTTTATAATTGTTATACGTCTCGGTGAAATTTGTCTTTTAAATCAACATTTATTAGTTATTATTTGCTGAATCTCTCAATTCTTCCAAATATAGCTTTATACCATAAACTGTGTTTACAGTTACTACAAGTTAATGAGCAATTTCGTCTAGCAAACAGCAACTATTCTGGTGCTCCATATTTATTCTGACGTTGGTTAGGAGAGTAATAAAATTTTCTCAAGCGTCTATTTCTAAACATTAAGTAATTTGTGAGTGTGACTAACGATCAGCTAATGAGAGGTATTGATCTGCTATATTGATGATTCCCAGGATGCAGTGGGCAGTTTATATTATTTACCACTTTGGTGTGGTGTTCCCGATTCTGAATTTGACAAGGGCAGATAATTATAGCTGAAGTATAGGCATAAATAATCTAGAATATAGCTTTAAGATATGTCTTCATCCAAGCGAATTAACATGATGTGTCTTATCCAAGCACATGGTTTAATTTGTTTAACTCTCAATCACAACCGCAAATTGAACGAGACTGATTATTTATAAGGATCATCACTGAGATAACCTCCACCCAGACTTCCCAAATTTACAACTTGCATATTACAAATATAAAAAATGTTCTTATTTATTGAAAGAAGTAAAAGAGGATGAAAATGTGTTATTAAGTCCTGGTAAAATCGTTCCTATTTCCTTTAGTAATTGCTGAAATCTCTCTTACGTCAATGGGTAACATTTCTAACCAATAATCAAAACCGGTGATTAGTATGTTGTCATTTCAGTTGATCTGTGTAGGTGACTTCTTTATCTGTATCGTTGCATTGATGATTTGAGAAGTTGGATTTATGATTTATTAATTTTATAATGACATTAACTGGTATACGCCCACATCTGTCCAATTCCTTGTATTATCTCTACAGAGATTTTGATTTTTTTTCAAACTTGCTGATGTTATTCAACTACTCATAGACATGAATTATGTCTAGATGTATGCTTGAATTAAAACATCTAAGCTTATGTAATGACCTGAGAGTAAGGGCAAGTATAAAACGGTTTTCTCAGTACAGAGGAAAGGTGGCTAAATTTATTAACAAAAGTTCATTTGATTATCACTAACATCATCCAGAAATTGCAAACCTAGACTGATTCTAATAGATTATTAATCTTAAATACCCCATTGCTAGCAAAGTTTATGATTATTGGCAAACTTTTTCCTAAAAATCACTGAATTCACCCACAGATTTTATATAGAACCTGCTATCTTCAGTTTTTATTACTGACCTAATGGTCTGCTTTTTATTGATAACAACCCCAAATACATAAAACAGAAAGGAAATTGAAGTTCAATGGTTCATTGTCTGTAATAAATAACATATTTTATCAAGTTGCTGCGCATGCTACAGGTTATTCATTTTTGTTACAATCTCTGATATTCGTTTGCAATATGGCATCCTAGTTAATGTTTCCATATCAAGTTGATGCTGCCATAATGCAGGTATTTGGTATTTTGATGGGTTAATTTGAGATCTATGAGTGATCTTCAATTATATATCAAATAAACTTATGGTGTACATTTCCAAACATCAAAAGATTATTAATTTATATTCCAATATAAGTTAAAATAAGCTTGCTCAAAACTTTAATTAAGTCTTGCAAACTGAACTTTGATACTCTTGGGAGCAATCGCTGTATTTACTATTACCTATTCAACCTGTTGTGTACTTAAATCTTTCATTAATGATATGGAATTTCAGCCTTATAACTACAGGTATTAATATAATTTTAGCCCATAGCTTCTCATTAATTTGGATGAAAGAATTACTATCTCTGAAATCAAGATAAGTAACTACCATACTTTGATACTATAATTGTAGACAAATGTATAAATTAAACACATTGCTCTATTTCCAGGAGTCCTTCTTCATTAGCCCAGTGGGAGTAGGACGTTAAACCCCATTTCATTTCATTTCATTTATTTCCAGGAAGCATTAACACTCCTTGAACCAATGACAAATGACCCTGTCAATTATGTAAGACAAGGTGCCCTTGTTGCTTCAGCATTAGTCCTTGTTCAGCAGAATGAAATTACTTGTCCAAAGGTGAGATAATCTTTAATTTTCTTTATACACAAACAGAACAGAAGAACCCTTTAATTGATTTTCCACAAGCTCCCACAAATGTTTTTATACACCCACATTTTTATCTGGATGTATATTGTCGTCGCCCGTGTCCATCCACAATTTGTTTGTGGACTACAGGTCACAATTCTTATCCGATTTTGACAAAACTTGAAATATAGGTTTATCTCCAAAAGATCTTGGATCCTTTCCTTTCGTTATTGGCATGTATTGGACCGTAACTTCCTGGATTATGGCCCCTGATTGTACAAAAAATCATGTCACAATTTTTATCCGATTTTAAAAAAAATGTTTAAATGTATCACCGATACACCCTAATGATGGTTGAGTTCGAATTTCGGACCTAAACTGCCTGACAAAATGGCCTCTCCTTGTACAAAAATAGTGTAAAAGTATTTAATACCAAGGTTTTTGACTCTCTAGAAGTCATAATTTGTACCTGATTTTGATGAAACTTAATATATATCTGTATATCCCAAATATCTCAGTCCATTTTAATATTCGCGCATTTCAGGCCACAACTTCCTGGAATATAGCCCCTGATTGTACGAAAAATCGCATTTTTTTTTTAGCTTGTTCTCTATCCACTAAACACTAAAATATCAACAGTATTATTTGAGCTGTCTAATAACTTTATATGAAGATACTTCCCAATAGCAAGAACCCTGATTTTTATGAATTCTGACAATGCTTTGGAAAGATATGCCCCTTTGATTTTGTAACTCCACCACTTAAGACATAAGACTATGCAGGTTAAACTAACCAAGATGATTAATTGATGTGCCTTTGTTACAAAGCCTAGTGACACCTATAGGTTTGCAAAATCGTTTAAAAATTTTATGGGTTGCATACAAGCAGATTGAGACGAAGAAACCATATTTCTGCATATCCGTACCATCTAACACAGAATTGCATTGCATCAATACATCAAAGATACAAATTGAGATTTGCCTTGATGAACAAAAAAGGATTCCTAACTTTGAAAATTGATTCTTTGAAAGAAATGTGCTTGCCACAAATTTGGATGACTCCCAGTAACTGTAAATTCTGCAATAAAACAAGTTATCCGTGTGCCAACTGTTGTCATTTGTTTGATATACTGGTACTGTTCATTGATAAAAGTTGTGAATCAAATTATTTATTTTGAATCCAAAAAATTCTATTATGGATAGGAAACTCTTCTTTTGATATTGAACATTTAATCAGCATTGTGGCCAGTAACAAATAGTAACTAATCATAACTACAAAAAAAAACACTTTTCATGGGTACCTGGATTAGCAAAAAATACTAGAAGCTGTCATATTGAATACATGCAAAAATAACAAAATCGGCTGATCAATGTCAAATAAAAAAATAAAAAAATATAGAACCTAAAAACCATCCCGAACCACAGTTCTGATATTATTCAAATTGAGAGATTTTAATTGGTTTCCTTTTTATACGCCCACATTGAAACGTGATCGTATATTGTCATCGCCCCTGTCCGTTGGTCCAGCATCCACAATTGCATGTGGACGCTCTAGAGGCTAAAGTTAATATCTGATTGACTTTATATATGTACAGTGCTAAAGGTCATGAGATGAAGAAGCCTATTGATTTTCAGCAATTTCTGATAATTACTGCCAGAGTTATGGCCCTCGATCACTTTGAAAAATCTTGTGGACGCTCTAGAGGCTAAAGTTAATATCCGATTGACTTTAAATTTATACACAGTGTTTAAGGCCATGAGACGAAGAAGCCTATTGATTTTTAACAATATCCGATAATTACTGTCAGAGTTATGACCCTTGATCACTTCAAAATATCTTGTGGACGGTCTAGAGACCAAAGTTAATATCCGATTGACTTTAGATTTATACACAGTGTTTAAGGTCGTGACACGAAGAAGCTCAGTGATTTTCAATGATTTCCGATAGTTATTACCAGAGTTATGGCCCATGATCACTTGTGGATGCTTTGGAGATCAAAGTTGTCATCTAATTGACTTTAGATTGATTCACAGAGTTTGATTTTAGATTGATACACAGTTTAAGGTCTTGAGATGAATTTTGATAACTTGAACAGCTAAATTCATTTTATTAAATGTTTTTTTATACAAAACAATAACATGGGGCAGAACTAAAAGCAAAACAAATTCTAATGATTCTCTGAGTTGTTACTCTTAATCAGATTTTAGTGCATTATAGATGTTTCATTACCGACAATAGAAAAAATATGCGACAACTCTTGTTGACTGCTCGGATGACTTAGCTGCTGTGGCCGTATGTTTCGTTGCCTGGCAACCTATCTTTATATTGTTATACGCCCACATTTTCATGTGGACGAATATAGTCATCGCCCCAGTCCGTCCAGACAAACTTAAAATATAGGTCTATCTCTACAGGCCACTCTACAGGTCACAATTTTCATCTGACTTTGATGAAAATTGAAATGCATGTTTATAACCAAAAGATCTTGGTTTCTTTTGATATTTGCGCATATATCGGATCGTAACTTCCTGAATTATGGCCCTGATTGTACGAAAAATTGTATTTCTAGCTTGTGGTCCTTCTAAAGGTCACAATTATAATCTGATTGAAAAAAACATTTGAATATATCACCGTTACACCCTAATAACGGCCGAGTTCGAATTTCGTGAAAATGGGACCAAAACTGCTGGACAAATTGCTGCTCCTCGTACGCAAATAGTGTAAATATGTGGTATTTCAAGGTTGTGGACCCTCTAGAAATCACAATTTTGATCAGATTTAGATGAAACTTGAAATATATCTTTATAACCCAAGGATCTTGGTTCCTGTCGGTATTCGCGCATATCGGATCGTAACTTCCTGAATTATGGACCTTGATTGTACGAAAAATGTCTTTTTGATTATCTTGTTCTCTATCCATCTCTGGCAAAATGACCTTTAAATGTGGGTGTATCTGCCTGGCAGAAATATGATTTGTGTTGCCGGTTTCTTATGATTTGAAGTGAATTATAGGTCCCCTACTTGTGATACTGGAGAAACTATAGCTTTTTTCCCAATCTGTTATTAGTTTTCTCTCTCTCTCTCTTGCTGTCTGTTCAAAAAATTCTTCAGCAGCCACCTTCTATATTTCTTCCGCCGCCATTTTGACACAGTAGGAGATGATCAGCTGGCAAAAAATCGTCTTCTTCAGTCTCGCAAAAAAGCCTAGACGAACCTGCTTGTTTGTAGCTAATATAGGTTGCCGCCAGTGGTTTCATGTTCCAGTTCCTACAAGTTATTTGTACCTATTTGCAACCTCGGTAAATGCTATAGGCATTAGAAACATATTAGAATAAAGAGTAAGCTGATTGAATGGTTAATAATTAGATGTATGTCATTAGAAAATAAACATTGAAATTTGTGAAAAAATTTTCTTTTAAAATGGGTTAATGAAATTAACCATTGTGCTAGACAATATGGCTATCGTCAAACAGCAAATTAATCAAACTAATTTCAAAGGTGGAGCTATTGTAAACGGGAGAACAGTTAATCAGTAGAATAGGGAAATTAAGTCGGTATACCATTCTTATTATTTCTTTTCCTCCACCCCCCCCCCCCCCACCACCTAATATTATTTCAACCAACCCACTAACCTTTTCAAAACTTACAATCATCATATGAATTCACATGGTAAACTTTATTGCTTTAAAAAAATCAATGAGTTTTGATAGGGTGTTATTAATGAACATTATCCAATTTCTAGCAGGATAAACATTGTGATATGGAAATGTCTCTTGACCAAAAAGGTTAAAATATCAAACATAATTGTTTAATGGAATTGTGGCAAAAATTTGTTGATATTTTAACCCACAGAATGGAATAATAACATCCATCATTAATTTCTATTTTAGAATCGGCCAGAATCATTGATATTGTTCAGTCAATATGACCTGTTTGTTTGTTTCTGTTTTGTACTTGTATTAAGTACAGGAACATACATCAAAAAATGAATATCGGATAGATTGATTTTAGATTTCTGATAATATCTTTTCTATGGTATAGTTATAATCAATTACATTTTAATACCCTTCAACATTAATGTAGAGTTGTGGACATATATTGTTGTCATCCCTGTTCTTCTATCCAGGATGGTTTTGGGAAAAAAGTTCTCAGAACTCTCGTATAATTATTGAATAATCTGCTGAGTTCCTTTGCAATATTTTGTTTACATATTGCAGACTGTTTGCAAACAATTTTTGTTTACTAAATTTTAATCCCTTATGGTTTTATACGCCCACATTTGTTTGTGAACGTAAATTTACACTGCCCCTGTCCATCCGGACATCCGTTCGCATATGCTTGTGGACACTCTACAGGTCACAATTTTTATCCAATTTTGATGAAACTTGAAATAGAGGTTGATATCCCAAAGATCTTGGTTTCTTTCGAAATTGGCATGTATTTGAAGGTCAAAATCGTCGCTTCTTGTAAGTAAATCATATTTTTTAGCCGATTTTAAAAACCGTCTCTGTTACACCATAATGACATTTGAGTTTATAATTTTGTAAAAATCTGACCGAAACTGCCTGACCAAATGGCCGCTCCTTTGCGCAAAGGGTGTAACGTATATATATATGTGGACCCTCTAGAGGTCATAATTTTTATCTGATTTATATCTCAAACATGTCGGTTCCTTTTGATAGTCACACATATCATACAGTAACTTCCTGGTTTATGCCCCTGATTGTACGAAAAATCATGTTACAATTTTTATCTGATTTTGATGAAACTGAAAATATACGTTTCTATCCCAAAGATATGGGTTCCTGTCAATACTTGTAGGTAGCGGACCATAACTTCCTGGATTATGGTCCCTGATTGTACTAAAAAAAAAAACGTTTTTTTTTTTTTTAGCAAATTCTCTGTTCATCTTGCAAAATGTGGGCAACTGCTTGTTATCTATTCAAAGTAATTAAGCAGAAGGTTTTTTTATTGAGATGTGTCCAGCAGAC